TGCGGAGGCGCGGGCACAGTGTGCCCAGAGAAGCTGTGGCTGCCCCATCCCTGCCTGTGGCAGGGGGTGGAACTGGAAGAGCTTTAAGGTCCCTTCAACCCAAATTATTCCATGATTCTATGATTATTTACAAGTTTCCTGGGAGGAAGTTGGGAGAGCAGAAAATAGGTGTAAGGAAAAAAGAAAAACAAGGACAGAAGATTCATCCCTAAACATTTACACCACAGTTCTCATTAAAAAAGAAAACCAAATCCCCCAGGCACACCCATGTACCTGGCCTGGGTCAGATATATCATAGTTGTGATGGTCGATGACAGCTGTCCTCTCCTCATCAAACTCGATCCCACACTCGCTGCCCAGCTCTCGCAGCGGGTCACCTGGAAGGACAAAGCAGACTCTCTGTTATGCAGCACGTTCAGGACGTGGTGACAGTTTCAGCACTCAAAATAAAGAGTAAATTCAGCTCAGAGCCTTGCATTCTGCACTCCACCAGCCAAACCCTGAGGAGCAACACAACCTCCCGCAGCCAAATCCCTGTTAAAACCTCAGTAAAGGCTGTTTATCACTCACTTCCTCACAGTACAAACCTTCACAATGAGAAACTGTTTTCACACCATTTTTGTTACAGGAACTCACAGAAGGCCAAATAAACTATTTTTTCACTGCAGAGCACAAGCAGCAGAGGTGCCTGTTACAAGAAGTGGCTGAAGCACCCCTGTTAGCTCTGGTGAACGTTTGTACTCACCTATGTCCGAGCTCGCAGCAACAAGGACGCTGCCACCGCCATCAATGAAGGCAGTGATGGTCTCCACGTTGATGTTTCCACCAAAATCTGAAAGCATACACCAGAAATCGATGACCAGTTCTCAGAAATACCACCACAGCAGAATGAAACCACAGCAAAACACCAAATCATTTCTCTCATGGCTGAAAGAACCTCTGCTAAAGGCCTGGGGTGCATCTGCAGTTTGTTTACTGGCACAAAGGATAACATGTAAAGCGTAAGATTTGATTAAAATTCACAGAACAGTTGAAAATCCCCTTCCAAAAATGTTCCAAGAGCACTCTCGTATTTACCTTCTATGGAGGGGGAGAAGATGACCAAGTTGTCGTACAGAAACTCTCCATATTTTATCAGGGACAGGCCAGCATCATCCGCCGTGCGGAAGGGGAGATCGAAGCCCCTGGCTGCAGCCACGACACAACATCGACCATTTAGCATGTCTCAAACTTGGCACAAAGAGCAGCAAAGCAGCATCACCATCCCGGCGTTTATTTCCAGTGTTTTTGGGGAAAGGAGCTTTATGGGAGCGTTCCCACGTAAAACCAAAGGGGATCAATCCCATGGAGAGCCCCTTTGTTGCAAGGACACCCCTCAAGCAGGGGCCTAGAACCCAGCAGGATGAGGAAACAGCTCCCAGGGAACCCCAGCCTCCTCCCTCTGCCTCGCCACGGGA